TCCCTTCGACTCATCCTGGCTTTCTTCAGATCCGTCTCGGCTCCTCATTATGACTTAGGGTAGGATTTCTAGTATATATAGGCATAGATACAATGGTGTATGGTAGTTTCTCGAGAATCGAAACTTACCCCACTCTTTCTCTGGTGTGATAACCTCTCACAAGCTCAGATTCTCATCCCTGAGGTCCTGCAATGTAGCCGCTGACTTACTGATTACTCAACTCATCAAGCGCCTATCAAAGCTGAATCTTACAACGTGCCACAGTAGACTACATCTGCCTGCCCACCGCTCGCAGATACTGATTCACATACCAAACTGGCAGCAGACCCCACTGCCTTCGCAATTTCTGTCATGCCCTTCATGCGCACACCAACGGGTTCAAGAAATGGAATGGCGCATCAGGAAACAGGACTTGGATCCGTAGTGCTCCAAAATGCTCCTGTAGCACTCTGTAGCATTGTGGACCTAAGTCTTTTCCCTGATGTGAACAGGGGGCTGAGCGCGATGCACATGATTGTGCTGCATGATGTCTGCTGAACTGCTTTCTTCATGTACTTCCAAGTTGTTAACATTCCTTGCAGCTTAGTGTTCCATACCTTCCTTGTTTTCTTGTATGTGCCGAAGACTTTCATCTATGCCACTCTCACCGAATACATGTAATCTTTGGCACTCTCACAGAGTTAGCCTTGCTAGTCTGATTCAGATTTACTGTACAAGACTTAATGTGCAGGGGAACAGTAGTACAGTTATCCACTGCTCCTTGATACAGCCAAATTCTCTGTGCCCATTGATTGTGTTCCACAGAGTGTATTGATCCAGAATTTTGTATAACTTACTGTACTTTTATGACCTTACCAGATGAAAGCCCCAAATTTGATTTTTCTGACAACTCCCCATATTCACCATAAATTGAGATAAAATTATTGGCAGGTTTAGCAGAAAACCAGTGTGACATGTGACATTCGGTATGGTCATAAAAGTACAGTATACCACACACCTCCTACACACTCTAGAATATTTCAGAGACTAACAGTGGGGAAATCTGTGAATGGGAGGGCCATCTCTGGGAACAATGGTAAGAAAAAATGAGAACAATCAGGGAGAGTAATCAAGGGATAACTGGGAACTTGCATAATATCGAATCTCAAGTGTGATTAAATAGTACACTATGAATCATTGCCTTGGCGAGACTTTGTTAACAATGCTATAAGCCGTCAGTAAGACATCTAGTCCAGAAGATTGGAAAATTGTGCCAGGGCATGTTGCCATGTGGTTGTACAGGGCCTGTGTAGTGTCCACTACAGAGCAGATAGTATTGACTGTTCCTTGTCTAAACATCACCAACATGTCAGATATGCTGTTTGAGAGGTTGAAATGTTCTTCTAGATCAAAGATGGCGCAGTCTGGACTGATACTGAGTCAAAGAGGCAGCGAAGGCCCAATGTCCACAGCACAGTGCCAGAGCGAGACTTCAAAGACTGGTCGGTAGGTATTGTACTTATTCGACCAAGTGGGCTGAGGGTGTAACTTGCAATACCCATGTTACGGCGGCCGCTCTTGTATTGTGCACAAGCGATCACTGTTATCTAGGGCTTGTTGTGTATGACTGGCATCCTTGGTCAGACACTGTGCACAGTCTGTGTGGATAAACTATCAGTCACATAGCTTGGTATAGACTTGAATCATTGCTGTTTGCATTGCCTCCACATACAGTGTCCGAGCCCATAAGACCTTGCGGTGCTCAAGAAAAGGGCAGTACTTGCGTAGAATTCAAGTCAAACCTTGATCATGATCATGGTCTGAACGAAACGGTGAGCAGCACTCCGTCTCCTTAGGACACCGGCATCTCAGGCTGTGAACAGACCACAGACTCTACCAGTTGCTTATCATCATCGAGTTTGCATTGGTATGGGACAGCATCTTTGAGGAAAGCAGTAGGACTTGGCACTGTGTGAACTGGAGCTGTGCAATGGCAATATATAAACTGCAGACGAGCTGTAGACACCCTTCATCCCACTCACCTGCTGTCACTGGCAGACTAAACACACCTTGCACACTAAACACAATGCTCGCAAAGCTGAACTTCAATCTCACCATTGTCGCCCTGCTGATGCTACCCACCAGCCTGGCGCGTCCAACCACGTAAGTTCACACTGCTTGTGAAGGTTGCATTCATTCCTGAGGCTGTGACAACAGGAACACAGAGCGAGACCTATCTCTCCAAGGCTATACAGGCTCATGTGTTAATTTGATGCCTGGGCAACTAAGGCAAGTATCGTCTTCTCACCAGGGGATATAATGACCAGCTCATCATTGTTGAAGCGCCTAGTGGCTCTGGCTCGGCGTTCCGCCTGGCATGGACTTAAGGTGGACATCTTAGATTAGGCGCTGCTAATACGTAGATAGTGATTGAACAATCATATGTAGTGCTCCCACACACGGACCTCTTTATGGCAGGCTTCCCCATTCTAGTGGACTTTCAATTTTGCTTCCTTTTAGTATATAAGGACTCCTCTCGCATCCCCACTCTGCGTGCTCTTTCCCTTCGCACTCAGAGTAAGTCCCTTCGTTGCCCTTGCGCAGTATGCACTTATGCTTACGCCCTGTATAGCTAATCCCCCGTGTGTATTAGGTTAGATCTATACAGTGTGCTCTTTCCCTTCGCACTCAGACTAATCCCCCGTGTGTATTAGATCGTGCCCGCGTGCCACTCGCCAGTTCGCGCTCGCGCAGCCCAGTAGTCGTATCACGACAATAGGTTATGAGCCCCGGCTTGTAACTGGCCCCCATCTACCCTCCATCCCTCA